TTGACATGCAAAATGTCTCAAATGCCCATTGTGGCTGCTCGATCGATAACATCGACAAAGACTTTATGTTTTACTATGACAATAGTTTATGATTCTATTGATACGATCTTCATATAGGTGTATATCGATACAATCATCGTTGTTTATTGTTGATACACCTGCCTTTCATATGCTAAATTGATATCATACTATATAGTATCATATAAATTGAAATTATGTTTGACGATCGCGTACCATCGATATATGAGTATGTATAATGGCATTTTAACATTTCGTGTCTTATTTTTGCTAGTTAAGTATTTAACATTTCGTGTCTTATTTTTGCTAGTTATAATTGCACCCCGAATTTGTAGACGTACCACAGCGCCCAATTTCCAACTTGTTTTTGGAAAGGAAAGAACTTGGCTGCTGAAAAAATTAGCAGCAACTCCGGCTGCTCACCAATCACTGATGGACATGTGTCCAATATGTGATGAAAAATCAATCACTTGGACACATGTCCATCTTTGATTGGTGAGTAGTAGGAGATGCTGCTAATTTTTCAGCAACCAAGTTCCGTTCTTTTGGAAATTCATTGTGTCAGAGAGTTGAGAAAACAGTTGGTGTGTATAGTATTATTCGTAAGTTGTAAATTTGTAGTGCAATCCGAAAGTACAAATTTTTTGTGCTCCCCCCTTAAATACTATTAAAATTTGACATGGAAAACAAAGTGCATAACATTCTCACTCTCCCACACTCTCTCATGTCCAACTCTACAAGACTACATCAACACTAATTAGACCATAAAGATTATAAATGCTAATTGATGAAACTTGTTAGAGTACACCAAACAAAAGAGGGACTTCATACCAACAACAAGGCTCCCCTCTTTGTAAAGATCGAAAAAGGGGGTAAGGGAAAACACCTATTGTACACAACCTTTCTCTTGCTTTGCAAGGATGTTGTTTCTATGATTCAAACTCATGACCTTTCGGTCACAAAAGAACAAACTTTTCCCTTGCATCAAGGCTTGCACTCAGGGTACACCAACACAGATGGGAAAAAAATCAATGGTGTCTTGGTTGGAATAGACCAAAAAATATCAAGCAAACAAATATCTATACCCATCACATTCAAGCTTTGATCATTATCCATGGCATATAAGAGATCCTTCAATGTATTGAATATTTGGTCCCCCAGTTTACCTATAATTTGATAAAGGCTCGTGGAAACTAAAGTAACATTTACACAAAAGTGCACGTCGCATTAAAGTATGGCTAGGAGCTTATGATGCTACAAATACAGAGATTCCGCAGCAAAGTTATGCTTTTCACATCAACCCTACAAGTTTAATATATGTGAGGAATGCATGATGAATAAATTAATCAATCTAATTATATCAATACATGAAATGTAGGGGTGGAAATGCAACAATAATGGTATATTAGGATTAATTTGTTTTTTTTTTTTAAAAAAATTAATGACCATTTCAAGGAAATAGCAGAGGGAAAATGCTTGAGAAAGGACAGTGAACAAACCACCAATATTCCCGCTGTTTTGATAGGCCGACAAACGGACAAAATATGTCACGTAGACAAATTCTTCATCAACGAAGCATATAAAAAATGTTGGATTAGTTGAAAATTATGACACTAATTTAATATTAAAATGACTTTTATATTAAGTCTGTACTATAGTCTACTAGTTTTACAATAAAATACGATTAAAACCTTAATGGTGTGTGGTACGTAATGGCTGTATCAAGAACAACCCAAAATAGTTAAAAAAAAAAAAAAAATTAGGGTTTGGAATCCAAGTACGGAAGTTGAATTATCTCTCTTTCTTCGTACCATAAAAATATGCAGACGTTGCTTCCATGTCTACTTGATCTGCTGATATAGTACGGTGGTCGCTCATCTGACTGCTAGATTTTGTCCCGCTGTATGATATTATATATGTATTGCTGGATCTTATTTCTGCAAAATTTATATGATTTTATTTTTATGTGTGATGCAATTTGCAGCTCGTGATTTGGCTCAGGTATTACTAAATGTTGAGGGAGCATGGAGCCCAGACAAGATCAAACTGGTCAACGTTGAACTATTCAATTTCAAAAATTGATAGGGTCTATAATAAGGATAAAATGACGGGTCTATAAAGGTAATACGTCTATAAAAGCGTTTAATTAGTTTGGCTCGAGAAATTAAGAATAATGAATGTAAACAAAATCTTAAAATGAAAACAACTAAAAACGAAATAATTCTTAAACGAAAAGGTTTCTTTCAAATTAGATATATAGTCACTCGAGCCCTAAAAGGTTTGTTTGACCACATGTCTAAATTGGGTACGTTTCAAAAAAATTCCTATATGATGGGCTCATGCATACAAAAAATTCAAGAAATTTTGTTGTACAAATTGCCAAATTTTTTATATTTAGCCCCATTTCGAGATTTTTATGACTTTAACCACGTAAGATTGGTTTGAGGCATTGAGTACTACCTCACATGACTTGGGTGGGATGAAAAATGTGATCAGACTAGCATTTTTAAAACTAATTTAGATTGTGCAATGTGGATTTACTCTAGCAAGAATAATGCAGAAACAAGATTTTTATGTGACCCAAAATCTGCAAGTTATCAGCGTGTTTCATCACTAAAGTTTAATAGAGATTTAAATATACCAGCAAGAATCATACAGCAGCAAGATTTTTATGTCTAGTGTCCCCCTTGCCTTTATTTATCGAAGCTACTAAAGCAGCGTTTGCTCAATTTCGAGGACTAGTTCAGTAGTGCGTGAGCTATCTTGAGACCACTTGAGTAGTGCTCGAGCACTACTTAGTGGGGCCTTGAGTGAGCATGAGCACTGCTCAAGTGACCATGAGATAGCTCGAGCCCTCTTGAGTATGTCCATATAAGTCCGAAGTATGTCAACAATTTGGCTACTTTTTAAATTTCTCATTTATAATTAGCTTATTCACAAATTAGACCCTCGAAAACTGTTTAAAAGAGCATTGTGGTGTTAGACATTTATGCATCCTTGAGTCTTGTTTGATTGAACCAAAATCATCAAACTTATGTGATTTAATCCATCTTAATTCATCTTATCGTGCTGACATTGTATTTGAACAAGGATTGTAGGAAATTTTTATAGGCGCTAAAAGAGTAATCATAAACTCAAATAAAACTGCATGTTGATATTTTGAAGCGCCAAAAATAGTGTTCAACAAACTGTGTAAAATATGTGAGAGGTCGGCTCAATTAGAAATTTTTCATTGGGACCGGAACACGGATGGTACACCACGTGTTTTTATATAAGTAGTTGGAAATTTTATTTTTTAAGTTATTAACTTTTTAGCAGATATATCCCACAATTTATATAGTGACACATAATATACCTATTCCGTGTTTCAATCACACTGAAAATCTCTCCGACTCAACGACCCGAGTTCAATAGGCTCCTTGACAGCCAGCGATGCTTCACCAGTTGCTGGACATTAACATGTACATAATGAGCCTACATGTGCAGAATTAGTACACAATCTTTCGTCACAAATCAATGAGATTCACAACTATTTAAATTGGGATGTGCTATCTACATATCCCAAATTACTTCTTACACACCCCTTGTTAATTTCTGTCCGTTGATCTTATTTAATTCATTCTATCCGACGATTGAAAATTTAAAAAGTATGTGAAAAGTAAAATAGAGTACATGGATATCACATCTCTTTAAATTATATCGTACGCAGAGCAGGTTACAACTATTCTCTATGACAACACCACGTCAAACAATTAACCGAGTTGGGTCCAACCCCCTGTAACTAATTAAATTCCAGTACTATATAAAACTTACAAAAGAGTGAGATGTTGTTGCAACTATCATAAATTAATACTGCCCTTATTTATTTAGTACTGAATGTACATGTACTTGAAAGTTACGTGTTGGATACGTACGACAAATTCAACAAAACTACGTACCAAATTTAAGTACAAGTCAAGGTTTGAATACAATAAACAAATTAACTGATGTACAACAACAAATGTAGCGAAAATGTGTACCTCATGACGAAATGTTTTACTACCACATCCACGCATAAACCAAATTAGCTAACTTAATAAACTTCGATCTTCCGTATCTGTTTTTACGATTAATAATTCGCTTGGAAAAAAAAAAAACCTAATTAGGACTATATATCACTCAATTTAGCTAACTTAAATTCAATCGTTTGTGCACTTGAGTATTACTGCACTACAGGTGGGGAGTTTCTTTTCTATATAAGCAATATTTTACTTTAAATTAATCTAAACTACTAAGACAGGAACTCAAACTCAAATGTTATAACCAATCGTCAACTAGCCCACTCCTGCTTGAAAGTAGCAAAGGGGGATTTGGTGGCAGGAGTGCAACGATCTAGCCCAAACCTGCTTAATTAGATGAAGTAGCAAGGCGTATGAAGGGAATGACGACCCATCTTGGAGATAACTTCAAAAGCTGAACCTAGCCCAACCTACTTAAACAACCTGTGTAACAATTTCATACCGTCTAGCCACCTTGACTTTAGACTTTTAATATATACCCTTGTCCTAGCTACGATGTGGGAACCAGATCCACTCAATGAGGCTGGGCAAGACTTTACGTCTGATATTGTAGTGTTAGACATTTGTCATACTTAAGCAGTGGGATAGACTCCTTCAAATGAAAAGATAGGAGATGTTTAGCCAGTACAAGCTGTGTTTGCTATGCCAGCACCAGTAAAACTTTGATTCTTTAAGCGTTTCTCATTAACATTATCAAATTATTAGGGGATTTTATGTATAAAATAAGGGAAAAAAAAATGATTGTAACTAAATACAAAGAATAAGATCCGAACCATCAAAAGCCAACTTCATCTTCAACATCACCAGGCCCCGTCCCCAAAACTGGGCCACTTAACCCAATTGAGCCCAGAACTCGACCTGGGTAGTAATGGGTACTCTGCCTGGTTGGTTTGCTTAATTCAAAGTTGGTGGACCAAAATAACCCCAACGAAAGATGGAAATTGCGGAGAAAATCCAAGGGGGTGATATGGATTCAGTACATCGCGAATAGAACCCAAAAATTGCTTTATGGCTGGACTCGACCACCACCACCACCACGACGTTCACCACCACCTTGTGAATAAAGCTTTAATATTTTAAGCGTCCGAACTTTCTGAGACTTCTCTCTGAAACGTATACATTTGCAAAAGTGAAGTAGTACAGAGTAAATAGCTCAGCTTCCGAAAGCATCAGTCACACTCTCTCGAAAACTCAAATTAAAAAAAAAAAAAAAAATAAAGCGAAAAAGGAGATAATTTCCCACTCAAGAAACTTCAGATTCTTCAACAAATCGTTGCATTTATACCACCACCCCCTTTTCTCATTTGCTTCTCACTTTTAAAACACAAACAAGAGAGAGATAGAGAGAGAGAGAGAGAGAGAGAGTGGTGGGTTTTCTTATATTTTTATTTTTATTTTAGTATTATATTTGTTTTCTAGGAGAAGGGTATCAAGCATGAGAAAGAAGATATGGGTTTTGGTTTTGCAGTGCCTCTTGCTCGTGGGAATGGGATGCCATCTGGGTAACTTCTCTTCTCTTCTGTTTTTTTTTTTTTTTTCATGTTTACAGTGGAGTTCTCTGGTTTTTATGTTATTTTTCTTGCTGTTTTTTTGTTTTTGTATTTTTGTTTGGAAATCTTGTTGTTCAGAAGTTGGCCGTTTCTGGTCAGGTTTATATATTTGTTTTTTCTGTGTTTCCCAGGATATATATAGTTGTATATGAACATTTGAAGCTTGCAGAATGCAAGGGATTGGGAAGTAGGCCAATCCTCCTATTTAAGGCGCCAATTTTTGGACCAAAAAGAAAAGAAAAAGTTTGTCTAGGCAAATCCAATCCCACTTAGGCTTGGATAGCTATTTGTTTGGACACAAACTTGAGAACGTTACTCACAAAAGTATGGTATCCCTGTTTATTGGTCTCACTCACGTTTCCCGTGGTTTCATCGATGTGGAAGTTGCCCTAGTCGTACAAGATACAACCCTAACGAAATTTCTCTTGTTTGTTGAATTTCTATTGATGCCAGTTCTGACTTTTATGGGGGTCCATGTTGTTAGACATGAGTCACATGATCTTCTAGGCCACTTTCTAACTGGTATTATTCAATTTTAGGCGAAGCTATCCACTTTTCTTTATGTTTTGTTGCTTGAATCGGTAGAGCTTGTTTTGAAATTGAAGATTTAATTTACTGAATCTTTTACAAACTTTTAGTTTCGACAATGGGAGCAGCGGTGCAAGAGAAGGCAGATGGAGCAATTCCAGACACCACATTGTCACCACCAGAAGGGAACACAACATTCCTTGATGGCACGACATGGTGCGTAGCCCTTCCCGGGGTTTCCCAAGCCGATTTGCAGAACGCATTAGACTGGGCCTGCGGATTGGGAATGGCAGACTGCAAGCCAATTCAAAAGGGTGGAGCGTGTTACGAACCAGATACTCTGCTGTCTCATGCCTCTTATGCCTTCAATAATTATTATCAGCAGAACGGGAATTCGGACATTGCTTGCAATTTTGGAGGAACTGCAGGTGTTACTAAAAAGAACCCAAGTAAGTTGTGCAGCTCCCCTTCCTGATAAGAAGTAGTGTAACAAAGGGTCACTTAAAAGATCTGTTGGTGGAATCCAACTCAGAACAACTTAGATCGATTTTGAAGTCGTAACTAAATGGATTTTCGGTATCGAAGAATCCAAATGAATTCTTTGGTGCCCCTTAGAAGCTAATGTTCTTTGACATTGTAAGGTGCTACAAGGGTCTAGTTCTTCCCGAATTTTTTACCCGGGATTTCACCCCGACACTTCCTTAAACGGGGAAGATGCCATTAGGCCAGAAAGCCATTTGGTAGCGTTGGCAGTCTTACCAAGTTTTCTGATCAATCTCTTGATTACATGGTTATCTCTATATTCTCCACATAGCAATAAGTAAACATGACTGTAAGATCAAATTGGGGCTGCACAAACTCTACCGGAATGTGTTCGCTCTACGATATTTATCGTTCTATGCCTTCAATTCTGCTCTACTGATCAGTTTCATCACATTACAGGTCATGGAAAATGCAACTACGCTGCGCCCGGGTACGCTTGTTGCATCACACAGTTTAGTTTGCGTAATCTAAAACACAAGTCTGTTACTTTTACAATGCTTATAGATTGATACACCCTTTGTTCCTGTTTCTTTCAGATCTGTAGGCTCTACAGCACCTCCATTCTCAAAGCAAAGTCACATCTCTCTTTGGTGGCAACTTGCTGGCCTTCTGCTGCCATTGTATCTCGGAAGCTGATATTTTGATGGGTTAATTAAACTGCTTCCAAGAAAAGCCAAAATTCCCGGTGCTTTTACAAAAAGCTATTTGCTGTTACTCTGGGGGAAAAAAAGCAGGAGATGAGAACATGATTATAAATTTAGAATAGGGTTTTGTAATTGTAATATGCTTTATCCCTATCTTTGTTTTTGGTTTAGGAATCTTTTACTTCTAATTAATCAAATCCTATCCTTCCACCTTTTGCCTGATTGCTTTCTTCTTCTAAACGTATTCATTCATGGCGATTTCACACTTCACACCCATGTTGTCTTTTTTGAGGGGAACATCGTATGGACTTCTAAATCTAACCATCACTTTGCATGGAATATGGTGTTTCTCCCATTGCGGATTTCATCTTCTTTTTCTAGATCTTTCATAGATTGAGGATTGCCGTTATTGCATTATTTTAAGTCAATCATCATATGTTATACGTTTTAATTTTTTTGTATGATAATACATGATTGACGTAAGATATCGTCATAATGACATATTGTTGCGAAGTTAGTTTCTGTCTTTTCTCATACCAGATATTCATGTTCAACAACAATATTATTGATTACAGTATTGACACATTTCTTATTATGACAAGTCTCGCAAATAAGAAAGTACCGATTTTTCAAGGTTGAGCTTTGTCGACCTTACCATTTTGTACAACTGACTAGGAAGCTCAACCTCGATTTGCAAATCCGCACCCCTCTTGAAGGAATTATCGATCAATTTGTATAAAATCAAATATAAAAATATTTATAGTACTGAAGTTACAAGATTGACCTTAACAATTTCTCAAGAGATTTTGAGAGAAAGATACGTATGAGGAGAAGGAGAACCAATCAAATCCCAGGAAACAGAAATCTGGAGGTTTAAATGTGGGGGCCCACTCACCCTCTGCAATGTCTGCATAGTATCTTTGTGGATCACAGATTTACATCATTTTGTCTTTCACAGGCCCTGGCAAACCAAAATCATCATTACATAAACAATACACCTTAAATGACAATTTTGCCCTCTAGATGGCTAATCCCGGTCCATCAGTGGACTGGACTTGCATTTAACTTTCAAACCAACCTAGCCCAGTCCAACCGGCCCAACGGAAGCCCAAATGTAAGATTTCAAAAATTAAATCCAATCAGAAGTTGCTGCTGCAGCAACACAAACAAGGGTCCCACAAACAAAACCTTATCCAATTGAGTAAAATGATTAATCCAATGGGACAGAGCCACGACGGCAGCAAAGGATCCTGGTGCATCCAAATCTGGAATTCTGGAGCCACAGGTTGCTCATGCGGCTGCGGCTGCAGACTTTGTTGCCCTAAAAGCTTATAGCGATATTACGGTACGCAAAACTTGATAAAATTATCAAACAAGTAGAGAGAAACTGCAACAGATCTCAGCAAATGGCAGCTACCACTGTGACCACTTCTCTCCCCCAGTTCAATGGGCTCAGACCCAAAATTTCCTTCTCTAATGTGCAAAGCATGGTAAGTTCTGCTTTCCTCTCGGTCTTTAGGATTTGACGTTGATCGATCATCTTTCGCTACATCATGGTAGATGCTTAAAGATATATGATAAAGTTATATTAAGGAAATTTAAATGCTATAAGAATAGAGATTTTGTTATACTGAGGTTAATGGAGAATCGAACACAGAATTTCGAGTGTAATAGGTGTAGGAGTAAATGCTCTTACTTGTATTTGATCAATACACGAAACTTCGAATTGCAGAATGACGTTATTGACTAACTTGAGTTACAAACCTCTTATTTCTCGTTTTACAGGCGGTTGCTCAACCAATGAGGCGCAAAGGCCTGGGCGCTTTGGGAGCTCGCTGCGATTTCATTGGTTCATCCACCAATTTGGTAAGCAAATATTTCACTGAACTATATATACATACAACAACCAGACCATACATTAGCAGGTGAATGTGATTAAATTACTAATTAATTTGTTCAATTAAATAATCTTGATTTGTTCAGATAATGGTGACTACTACAAGCCTAATGTTGTTTGCCGGAAGATTTGGGTTGGCCCCGTCGGCAAACAGGAAGGCAACGGCAGGATTGAAGCTTGAAACAAGGGACTCTGGGCTGCAGACTGGCGACCCAGCTGGGTTTACACTTGCTGATACCTTGGCCTGTGGGACAGTTGGTCACATTATTGGGGTTGGTGTTGTTCTTGGCCTTAAGAATGTTGGTGCCCTGTAATTAGTCAATTAATCAATCAAATTCCAAGAGTTTGATTCAAAAGAGAACATGTTTGTGAACTCCTCGTGCACTGAATGGTATTTTTAAGTGTCATATTGATAGAAGAATGACAAACGCTAAGAATGCTGAACTTTTCCTTTTTAAGCAAGCCCTCATTGCTCTAAACTTTCTTAATTGTTTTTTGGTAGTGAAGGGGGACAACGCTTTGCACTTGGTGTAGCGTCTTTAGTCTTTGTTCACCTCTTCACTGCTTTCTGTTTGTTTTCTTTGGTTGTTGCCTCCTGGTAGGCCTCCTATGCTTTTGGCTTTGGCCCTAGTTATGAATATTTCCAGTTCAAAAAAAAAAAAAAAAAAAACTTTCTTGTAACGTGACAAGTGAGATGGAGAGATAATCAACGATGTAAACCAAATGCATGGAAGTTTCTCTCATCGAAAACTTCGTAGCAGAGGACCTTCTAAACACCACCTGTCTTGGTGCAACAAATACAAGCATATTGGATTGCATATCGCGTTGTGTAAGAATCGTAAAATTTGGGTTGTAAAAGGAGCCCAAGGAATATGAATTATATTGACTAAAAAGACCAACCACCTCTTGTTTAGTGGCACTTCAGATTTTTATGTTAGAAGATGTTCGAATTTCCACTTCCCCATTAATAAGAACAACCTAATTGTAAAAGAAAAAGAAAAAACTAAACAAGACCAAAGTAAGAAAAATAAATTTGCAGTTGGAAAATTTTGACTCGGACATTATGTACATGATATATTATTGCGTGCCACCACTTGTACATGAGATATTATTTTAATTTACACTAGAGAAAAAAGAGGATTTCAACCTGGAACACAATAAATGGGATAGAAACCATAATTACCTGGCAAATCCACCATTTCAATTTTCCAATTCTTTTCACTCTCTTACAACAAAAAAAGGTCTTGCTTTTATAGGAAGACCGATGATTTTCACACATTCCTTTTAATTTATGGCTGTCGATTAGATAAATCAACGGAAACGACACACAGATTTAATAGTAGTGTGTGAGAAACTAAAAAGAAAGTGTTTGTAACTTTCCATGGAAAATGTAAATATTCCGAAAACGGGCGAAATGGGTCATGAGTCCATGACTATGGATCAGGCCAAGACCTATAAAATTAGCCAAACCGGATCGCACCCAAGTCCCAACAAACCCACCCATGGATCCGCGGAAAAAACCCAAAAGGCCATAAGCCCAACGACGCCGCTTCACTGCATTTCGGATCTTCTGTCTGCTTCTAGATGAGCGAGTGAGACTGTGAGAGCTAATCGGCTACACAGCCGAAAAGAGAGGGAGAGAGAGAGAGAGAGGGAAAGAGAAAGAGGTTGCTGCTGGCTAGGGCTCGCTGGTTCGGCTCCTTTCTCCACAAAACCAATTTGCAGAAGAAGAAGAAGAAGAAGAGGAGAAGAGAGGAAGATGAGCATATGGAACTACGTCGTAACGGCTCACAAGCCCACCAACGTCACCCACTCCTGCGTCGGCAATTTCACCGCCCCTCAGGAGCTCAATCTCATCACTGCGTACGTCCCCCCCCAATTCCTCTCTCTCTTTCTTCTTTATCTTTCTCTCTCTTCGATTTTGTATCTTTCTGCTAGGGTTTCGCTAATGCGTTAGTTTCCTGAGGCAGTCTCTTCATCTTCTCATATACATATATATATCTATATATATACAGATATATATATATACAGATATATATATATATATATATATATATATATATACCTGGTTAATTTTGGATTAGAAATTCAAGCATTAAGTTGTTTGCAAGATTGAAAATTTCAAAACAACAAAAAAACTTCAGGTTTCGGGCCGAAGGCGATTGAGTTTGGGATTTCCTGGCAATTTTTCAAAATTTTTTCGTTTGATGCCGAGAGTTTTCTGGGAATCAATGAAATATTATACTTGTAGCTCTTTTTAGGTTATCAAGATTATCAATTGCTCTTTTAGTGGGGAGTAGTAGTGCGGGAGCGGTTCAATCGATTGTCTAGAAGGCTTTTATTGATAGAGCTTTCGTGTCTGCGCATAAAACAAGGACTCTTCATTCTGCTGTTTAGAGATTTCCTTGATTAATCATATTATTTTGCAGCAAGATTTCTTGTCCAGAGTTATATCTTGTTAATGATTGGTTTCATAAATCTTTTTCAGGAAATGTACGCGAATTGAAATTCAGCTACTTACTCCTCTGGGACTGCAGGTATGTATGTCAATCTATTTTGTGGTAAAAGAGAAAAGATAGATACTTTAAAGTTAATAGCTTACTTGTGCGTTGTGTCATTAAACCCTCAGGTTCGAAGAATTGTATCATCGCATTTTAAATGTCCAATGACAATCTTTGGAAAATTGTTGCTCTTCGGTGTTCCTTGCACCTTTTTGGTAGTTGATGATGTTATGTTGACTTTTGTCCAGGGATTTATATATTATTGGGAACAAAGTAGTAAGAATTCAATTCTAAAGCTTAGGCATTCTGCATGAAGTTTCGGCATCTAAGAATCAAAATTTTAAACTTTAAACTTGGACATAGTAACATTAGACTTTGCATTGTATGTAAGTTGTCCCCTAATAAGAAGTTCTTATTAAGAACTATCATCTACTACTCATTTCACTGAACTCTTATAAATAAAATTATTGTGCAGAACTTGCACAATAAGTTTTACTTGACTCTACATAATATGATTTATTTTACGAAGCCATTTACCATGGCATTTGAATTACACGTGAAATACACGATCGAATAAACTGTATCTACATTCTTGGAATTAATGTTTGAAATTTTTTTTATGTTTATCTCTTTCTGCTATAAAATATCAAATTTGTAGCTTTGTTTCTGTTGCCATTTAAAACTAGCATCCATTTAGCACTAAGCTAAATTTTGTTTCTCTGCAGCCTATCTTGGATGTCCCGATATATGGAAGAATAGCGACGCTTGAACTTTTCCGGCCTCATGTGAGTCTTAATGTCATATTTTTGTCTGATTTTGTATTATAATTTTTTTTTGGTTTTAATGTTGTTTTTTTTTCTTTTCAACAGGGTGAAACACAGGATTTTCTATTCATTGCAACAGAAAGATACAAATTTTGTGTTCTTCAGTGGGATGCTGAAGCATCTGAGCTCATCACTAGGTTAGATATGCAAACCAAGTGAAAGTATTGTTGTTTAAAATTATTTACAAAAGTACTCACTTCATATGGACTGTAGATATATGTTTAATGACATTCTGACAAATGCATGTCCTTGTCGTGTAGGGCAATGGGGGATGTCTCAGATCGCATAGGTCGTCCAACAGACAATGGTCAAGTAAGTTAAATGATTCTACGACTCTCAATTCCTGTAGCTTTTTCTTGTTAAAAATTTTATGTCTTTCTAGAGTTGACGTCTAAATGATGTTTAAGTTTCAACTGGGAAATCCATAAATATGACTAATGTATATTTTTTTTACCTACTATTTTTTGCAGATTGGTATTATTGATCCAGATTGTAGATTAATCGGACTCCATTTGTATGATGGATTGTTTAAGGTATGTGGTTTTGAATACTGGGAAGAAATATAAAGATCTTCATTTTCTCATCACATTTATAGTTTAGAAATGAAATAATATGCTGTTGGTTTTTCAGGTCATTCCTTTTGATAATAAAGGGCAGCTCAAGGAAGCATTTAATATACGGTATTTTTTCTCTTGTTCTTTTAGTTTTCTAGTAAAATATATATTTTGTTGATTAGTCTTCCTGTCATTAACTGACCATGAGTTATATTTAAATTTACTCAAATTGACAATTGATTTTACAAGGCCTCACTATATATTTGTAATCGTGCTTAATTATGTTGCTAGCTGCAATGTCATATTTCTTGCTCTCTTCTTTTTGTGTGAAATTATAATTTCTTTTCACTCTAACTACACCTTTGGCTAACTTTTCAGGCTTGAGGAACTTCAAGTTTTGGATATCAAGTTTCTATATGGTTGCTCAAAACCAACAATTGTAGTCCTATATCAGGTACTAGTCATTCCTTTCATTTGGTTATCAAGTTTATGTTGGGCTACCGTTTTACCCTTTTATCTTTGTATCACCTAATTTGTCTTAGTATCGAATGTTCAAGTTTTCTTATACTGTTATGTTTGTTATGTTCCTTGTATGTCTTAGTATCGTATGTTCAAGTTTTCGTATTAGTATCGTATGTTCAAGTTTTTTTGTTCTGTTATGTTTGTTACGTTCCTTGTATCACATTGAACATTATTTTAGCAAAGGCTTAGCCAATGCTATGTAAGATCCTAGTAGAACAGCAGTTTCAAAATGGAAAACTTGGTAAAAACAAGCGTGATCTGGTCAATGATGTTGGTATATTTTTTTCTACACATGTCTACACAAACCATCTAAGATCTTTGTAAATCTGCTCCATTTCTAAGTCACAGAACATTGTGCATGTGTAGTGTTAGGTATTGCCCCATATAACATTAGTACATATACTAAAATTGTGGGAGGCCTTTTTGGGTGGTAAATTAGTGTAGGAGTATTAACCAAATTTTTTTATTGCCTTACTATGGTTGAAATATTGCAGGATAACAAAGATGTTCGCCATGTCAAAACATATGAAGTTTCTCTGAAGGATAAGGATTTTGTTGAAGGTCCTTGGGCACAGAACAACGTTGAAAATGGGGCTGATTTGTTAATACCAGTTCCTCCGCCGCTCTGTGGTGTTCTTATTATCGGAGAAGATAATATTGTTTACCGCAGCCCGAATACATTTAAAGCAATCCCAATAAGACATGTATGCTATAGTATCATATGAATGTTGTTTGGAATTATGTGTTGAATTGGTTATAGAAGTATTATTTCAAGTTTTTCTTTGTCATTTGTTATAGTCCATCACAAAAGCCTATGGGAAAGTAGATGCAGATGGTTCCAGGTATTTACTTGGTGATCATGCCGGGCTACTTCACCTACTTGTTATAACGCATGAGAAAGAAAAGTGAGTTCTAATACATCCTTGAAACATCAAATTGTTTGTGGTTGAAGATTATGGGGTTAGTTTCTCAGGATTTCATCTACACTTCTTGTAGGGTGACTGGACTGAAAATTGAGCTCTTGGGGGAGACATCAATTGCATCTACCATCTCATACCTTGATAATGCATTTGTCTATATCGGATCAAGTTATGGGGATTCACAGGTGGGGTAGTCAGAACTATTGCTTGTTACTTGTTCTATTCTTAGCTATAAAAAATTGTTCTTCAAAGACTGTACACATAAGACTATAAAGATAGATTTGACAGAAAGTAGTGGTTTAATAATGTGCTTGAAGTTTTAAATGAAATAAAGATGTGCGATTATTATGATCAAAATTACATTGATACCTCATTAAATGATTTGGATTATAATATATTAACACTCCATGGTGTTGTGAACACAGCTTGTAAAGCTGAATCTACATCCTGATGCAAAGGGTTCATATGTGGAAGTGTTAGAAAGGTACGTCAATTTGGGGCCGATCGTTGACTTTTGTGTGGTTGATCTTGAGAGGCAAGGCCAGGGTCAGGTTGTAACTTGTTCTGGAGCTTTCAAGGATGGTTCTCTTCGTGTAGTTCGAAATGGAATTGGAATCAATGAACAGGTTTGACTTATTTAAATATTTTGGTAATCAGTACCCAAGTTTCATTTTGTACGTTTGCATGGGGTTCTTGCATACTGATGCCTGTAATTATTATATGATGTTGAACAGGCATCCGTTGAGCTTCAAGGTATTAAGGGAATGTGGTCGTTAAGATCCTCCACTGATGATCCTTATGACACCTTCCTGGTTGTAAGCTTTATCAGTGAGACAAGGATTTTGGCAATGAATATTGAGGATGAGTTGGAAGAAACTGAGATAGAAGGCTTCTGTTCTCAAGTACAGACTTTATTTTGCCATGATGCTGTCTGTAATCAACTGGTGCAGGTAAGTTGTCTCCATATTGCATTGTTTCTTCTATGTTTTAATGCATATAGTAGAATATACTCAAAAGCAAGCACTTTTATGTTTTTTTTTTTTGGCCTTTTATGTCATTAGGGACGCAAACGCTAATTTTCAGTCATCACTGTCACATCGCTACCACCATTTGGAATGCAAAGTTTTAAGTTGCTTCTCACCCCCTAGTTTCTCTTCTACCAGCCTTAGGGACACTTTAATAACTATTAATTTGAACATTGCTGGTCTACAATTTCGTAATAAATGATCACATCATAACTGAGGTAGTAGGGAAAATCTACACGATCTATCTCACTTAGATGGTGTGGATGTATTTTCACCGGCCACGTTTGTTACCTGTTTTAGGTGATGTTAACATTGTTGAGGTTATATTTTTGTTTTAGAAAATATTCTAATATGTAATAATCTGGATTGTATAGGTGATTAATTTATTGCTGATTGACATGTATTGTATCTATTGCATGCTGGCTGATGAATTGACATCACAGGTAACTTCAAGCTCTGTAAGATTAGTCAGTTCTACAACTAGGGAGCTCAAGCATGAGTGGAATGCTCCAGCAGGCTATTCAATTAATGTTGCCACTGCTAATGCCACCCAGGTTTTGTTTCTACTTGTTAACTTTTAAGTTTGCAAGTAAGCTAATAAAAGTTGTGTTTCTTATTAAAAACTAAGTTTTCAAGTAAGGACCATTGACAGTTTTAGCTGTGCCATTGAATTAGATCAGTTTTGGTTTTTTTTAGGATTTAGGATTCATGTTCCCTATAAATATTCAGGACATCCTATACTATAATATAGAATAGGTGGTTTTTCATAAGGAGCGTCTGTTGACTCCCAAAACCTAGATTAAGATCAACTTTTAGAAAAAAACAAACCAGCATATTTCTGAAACATCCTTGAAAAATTAACTCTCTTATTTCTTTGAAACTTGAAATGAAAAATATTTTATAGATTCCCTGGTGTTGATAAATCCCCCTTCTAGTCTCAGAATTGCTAATGAGTTACCATACATGCTGTTTCCTAACATGGTATTGTTTCCTTTTGTGGATGTCTGCGTCAACATTTGGTTGCCTGATGTTAATGGCTAACTGGTTGTTGCTTTAATCTACTTCTGTGACAGGTTTTATTGGCGACTGGTGGAAAGCACTTAGTTTATTTGGAAATTGGTGATGGGATATTGACAGAGAAAAACCACGCACAGTTAGATTTTGAGATATCATGCCTTGACATAAACCCTATAGGCGACAATCCCAACTATAGCCAGCTGGCAGCTGTTGGAATGTGGACAGATATTAGTGTCCAGATATATTCACTTCCTGACCTGAACCGCATCACAAAGGAACATTTGGGAGGGGAGATCATACCTCGTTCTGTTCTTCTTTGTGCCTTTGAAGGGGTATGCATGTGCTTGAGCCTACTTCACTAAATCAATTCTCAGTTGTAGTCATTTTGTATGACTTGCTCATTAATATTGGTCAGAAATGCAATGTCTTTTTTTGAGATTACCATTGGGGAGTGGCTCTTCTAATAGCATGTTCAACTGATTATAATTTTAATTATCATTATTTTGGAATTTATCTAAAGAGTTGGGCCTGTGTTTGTGTCAATCAATGGGGACTTCTGTTGCGTAGATGAGGGAATATTAATTTGCACATCTATTGCTTTCTTTAGTTCCTTCGTAAAGTTTTTACTTTAGTTATTTGGTTACCGAGTAAATTTTTGTTACTGTTTTTTTAATCAGATATCCTACCTATTGTGTGCCCTAGGAGATGGGCACCTCTTAAACTTTATATTGAACACAAGCACTGGTGAGTTGACGGACAGGAAAAAAGTCTCTCTTGGGACACAGCCCATTACACTCCGTACCTTCTCATCCAAGAGTACTACGCATGTATTTGCTGCGTCGGATAGGCCAACTGTCATATATAGTAGCAACAAGAAACTGCTTTACAGCAACGTAAATCTGAAAGAAGTCAGCCATATGTGCCCATTCAACTCTGCTGCTTTTCCAGATAGGTACTTTTCTCTTTCTATTGTTCACTCATAAAATATGGATAGGATCTTGGTTTGGTGGATACGAGGTTTAGTCTATATCCAAATATCATATCTCTTTTCATATTTTCAATTTGTAATCCACTGTTGCTTATGTGATGGCTGCCATTTTATGTAAATTATCATGCCGGGATGGTTTATAGTAGTTAAAGTCGTGAGTTAGTTTCCAAATTGATTATTAGAGTTACCATTTTTTGGTGTGATAATATGCTTTATGATCTTCTTTCTCAAAAAAAAAAAAAAAAAAAAAAAAAAAAAAGGCTTTATGATATTAGCATGTTTTAAGTATTTCTTTAAATGAAAGTTTACATAAAAATAATGGTCTGGGTGCAACTTAGACAACCATACGCTGTTTTTTTCCCTTTCTGTTCTGTTACTGTGTAGGTTTGACGGGGGAACTCTTCCTCCGCCCTCCTTAAACTGTCAACTTTCAGAGATTAAACACTTGACTTTTTTTTTTCTTGTGACAACAGCCTTGCAATTGCTAAGGAAGGTGAACTTACTATTGGCACAATTGATGACATCCAGAAGCTTCATATTCGCTCTATTCCCCTAGGTGAGCATGCGCGTCGTATCTGTCATCAGGAGCAGTCCAGGACTTTCGCCATTTTGAGTGTGAAATATAACCAGTCTAGTGCAGAAGACTCAGAAACACACTTCATCCGATTGTTAGATGATCAGAGTTTCGACCTTGTAACATATTATCAACTGGACGCTTTTGAGTATGCCTGCTCTATACTTAGCTGTTCTTTCTCGGATGACATGAATGTATATTACTGTGTCGGGACTGCATATGTTCTCCCGGAAGAAAATGAGCCAACCAAGGTAAGATAGCACTTTAGTTTACTGGTTAGTGCAGAAATCTCACTTGAACTGGTAAGTAGCTGATTTTCCATCCTCCCTCTGTAAGCTGACAATATTGTATACTTGTAGGGCCGCATTCTGGTTTTCATTGTTGAAGATGGGAAGCTGCAGCTCGTCGCTGAGAAGGAAACCAAGGGGTCTGTTTACTCTTTAAATGCATTCAATGGCAAGTTACTTGCTGCTATTAATCAAAAGATACAGTTATACAAGTGGACTCTGCGGGATGATGGTACTCGTGAATTGCAATCGGAATGTGGACATCATGGCCACATACTTGCCCTTTATGTCCAGACTCGTGGAGATTTCATCATTGTTGGGGATTTAATGAAGTCAATTTCTCTGTTAATGTACAAGGTAATAAAACTAACTTTCAACCCTCTGCATGCCTTGGACTAGTACTGCTCAAAGTAGTAGTGGTAGGTGATTTGTTTACTCCGACATGAATTGCGTAAAGTTGCAACTTAAAATTACTTGATCCAATGAAAATGAAATGTGATATTGGGATATTTTGTGGGAGGTCACATTTTTCGTCATACGTGTCAAGGCCTTGTAATAAGAGTCCCTTTAGTCCCTTTTGTCTCTGCTAGTTCAACATGAGGTTCTCTTGTTTGAATTTGTTGATCCTGTTTTTACTCTGTTGTTAGTCTCTGTCCATTTAAGAGGAGCGAGCCCGTGATTATAATGCAAATTATAAACTATTCTCTTGCTTAACCGAAATTTTTTTTATTGTATTCAGCATGAGGAAGGTGCCATTGAGGAGCGAGCCCGTGATTATAATGCAAATTGGATGTCTGCTGTAGAGATCCTCGACGATGATGTTTACATTGGAGCTGAAAATTTCTTCAACCTCTTCACTGTTCGTAAAAATAGTGAGGGTGCAACTGATGAGGAACGGGGCCGCCTTGAGGTTGTAGGTGAGTATCACCTAGGCGAGTTTGTCAATAGGTTCCGGCACGGCTCTCTTGTCATGCGGTTGCCAGACTCTGATGTGGGCCAGATTCCAACTGTCATCTTTGGCACCGTGAATGGTGTGATCGGAGTAATTGCCTCACTTCCTCAAGAGCAATATGCATTTTTGGAGAAGCTCCAGTCAAACTTGAGGAAGGTGATAAAGGGTGTTGGAGGGTTGAGCCACGAGCAGTGGAGGTCATTCAGCAACGAGAAGAAAACTGTAGACACCAAAAATTTCTTGGATGGCGATCTGATAGAATCGTTCCTTGATCTAAACCGCAGCAAGATGGATGAGATCTCAAAACAAATGCGCGTTTCAGTGGAGGAGCTCTGCAAGAGAGTAGAAGAAATGACGAGGCTGCATTGAGTTGGGACCACAGTTTAGGTTTCGATTGCACATGTGGTACATATTGGCACTGTAACTATGATCTGTTGTGAAATACCTGGCTGTGAACTTGGGTTTGAGTTTTACTGTAAAACTATAACAAGGAAAAATTGGATGTTCGTTCTCTTAGTCGGTATTTTTCTTCGATTGTAAAGGGCATGCAAATGCAATGCATTTACATTTGTGTGTTATTTATTTGTATTTTTCTGAGGTGTCTTTGGATACGTGTGATATTTTGGGATTCAGGATACATGCATATAAAAACGGATGGTGCTATCTACGCATCCTTTTATGTCTTCCACACATTCCTCTCAATTTTCGGCTGTCATATCAAATGAATTGAAGATGATCAAATAACTGAATTAATAGTGGTGTGTAGAAGATAAAGAGGTGTATGGATAGCACGGCCTCATCAAAACCATTGAAATCATAGGAAAGAATGCTATCTATCTCATCAATAGGCTTAGCTCTGAGGGCGGGGATAGGAAAGGGCGAAGATGAAGCTGATACGGTCGATTGCTGCACTTTGAAGGTAGAGCATGTGAAAGCAATCGCCCCTAACTCGTTGGAGTTTTAACTTCCTCGATAAAGATTCGATCAGATACGAAAACACCGCTGAAGTTGAGGTACCTTTTTACAAGGCAATTAGACAGTTCCAGGCCGGGAAGCGCAGCAATGATCATCTCTTCGACAAGCTGGATGCGAGTAGATTGAATGCTCATTTAAAGCAACGGATGCCTGGCCTTGGCCTTACGGCGAAGAGAGAAGATGGTTGCTTAGCAGCAGAAGCTGGGGATCGGGAGAGCTTAGGCTTGAAATGGAGCTAGGATACCAGTATATTTCCCTCCTCTAATATCACGGATTTGGTTATACATGTCTTCGTTTTGTTACAATCCTTGTGGGTTGGAACTCGTGCTTACAAGTCTAAACTTGAATAGATTATCTATATGTTTGCATTCGAAACAAATCGTAGCATAAAACACTTGTTCACGAATAGTGAAGCTTCAGTCCAAGAACAGAAAAAAGCAACAAACTGCTCTTCGAAAAGAAGAAGCAGAGGAGTGAGAAGAAATCTAGCAGCACCGGTGACTTACTTGGCACTCACTCAACGTCAGTTTGATGCTCAATCAATCTCCGATGAGTTTAACTTAAAAGGCGGTCATGCTTAACTTGCAATAAGCACACTAACACATCGCTCTCTCTCAAACACTGTCCACCAAATCCTCGTCGACAAGAAAGCTCAGCACTAAAACCTGGAGGGATGAGAAACAAGGATGAGTGGGCCTAAAAAAAATAAAGTTTTATAAAAACCTTTTTGAAAACATTATAACCCCTCGTCGTAAAACAAGTATAGTTTTCAAAATATACATACTACGTATAATATGGAAATACTTACCATAGCCTGCGATATCTCAAGACTTCAATACGTCATAAATTCGTAAATAAGCATATCTTCTACAGATCACAATATCTTGCAGAAATAAATAAATCACATCGAGTGCTCATCGACACATGCTAACACACGAGTTCATGCATATGTATTCTGACATGAACATGATTGGGTGTAATAATGATTTACGCTCTAGTATTACAATCACATGAAGATTGACGTTATACGCATCATTTACGAGTCCTAATTGCCTATAGCAATCTAGGACAGGACTGGCACCTACAATGAATCCAAAGTGAGCGTGCGGTGCGATGTGAACATCCGCGTGAAAGACTGGCCCTAGCCCGGACGAGTACTAACACTAGTGCAAGCAACGATGAGCAGATAATGTTAATACGATCACATAGCAGTAAATCAATAATTCACGTTGACGTAATACTAATAAATAAAATATTAATTATGACCGTAATTAAAATCCCATAAAAGTACGCATACCTATGCATCTCGTAGGATTTAGGATAATTTCGTAAATTCCATTATTTTGCTAATTCTTATAAACATTAGTCTAATCTAGGCATAAATAGGAAATTCTTTTTCAAATGTATAAGGGGAAACTAAATAAATATATGATATTGCGAAGTTGCAGCCATTCGAGCTAGGAAAGCTGAATTCTCCGATAGTAATTGCACCTAAGTATAATATTGGAACCCATTAGTAAAACTCAACTAAAACGACTAAATTTGGGAAAACAGAGTGCGGATTTGGAATTAGAACGTCGAATTACGCTAAGAGGGGTCCTTGGTAAATTTTGTAAAAAGTCAACAGTCAACCCTAAGAGGTTAACCGAGCAGCCGCCTCGACAGTGAACTATGTTAAAACTTTGAAATTTCACTAAATGGATGTCAAAAACGGACTCGGGGCATTGAAATTAGCCTAGGAGGGTTTCCAAGAAAATTTCAAAAAAATCAACATAAGGAATATTCTAAAGAATATTCCATATCCATTTTGAAATTGGGCCGCCCTAGAACATCGGCCCAAAGGTTTGGGCCAGTTTGGCCAAAGGTTTAGGCCAAAAATTTTGGGCTTAAGGCTTTTTTTATTTTATTTTTTTCTGGGAAAAAGGATGGCTAGGATAAACCCTGGCTCCAACCAGCCAAAAGCTTCACAAAAACCTAGCCTTCCAATATATCAAAACAAAGCTTGGAGAACAAGGAATCAGAATATACATTTGGTTTCCTCGGCCATGGCCAGAGTTGGACGGAAAATGGCTCGAAAGTTGTCGGATTTTCGTCGAAAAATTGGGGAGAGTTTCTCCTGAACTGATATGCACCAAAACTACAACATTTCTCTCAAATAAAACAAGAATCATATACAAAACAGTGATCTAAGATGATTGTCGTCGATTTCAAAGCTTACCTCAGTCGGATTCATCGAGAATCTGCCGTTGGTTCGTTGGAGGAATATAGTACAGTGATCTGTGTCACTGTCGGGGGTTCTAAGGTTTTGGTCTGGCTTCAAGACAAGGAAGAAGGTGACGATGGTGGCGCTGGTTCACGGGAAAGATGGAACTCGACGTTGGAGGTGACGAGGCAAAGTGGTGCCTTGGTGTTGTTGTAGAGGAAACGAGGGATGATAGATGAGAGCGTAAGTGAAGAAAGAGTTCGAGCGAGATTTCTAGAGAGCTCAGGGAGGAAGACACGCGGCAAAAGGAGAGTAGAGAGTTTTGGGATATATGGGCCCCACGGGCCAATATAAATTAATAAAGTATTTAAAATATCCCCCAAATAATATTCAAATAATAATATAATAACAAAAATTTCTTAAAATAATAATATAATAATTATGAGAAATATATAAAATAATAAATAGTAATTTTTTTTCAAAAATACTTTTCGGATTTGTAGTTTCGTAAAACATTCGTCGTAACCCTGACTTTGATTTCGCTTGCACCTACGCGTTCGTACCGCCAAGTACTTCGAAAATATGGTAATATAGTAACTTGTACGCGTCACGAAATGACGGTCAACAAAAGTCAATAATCTTGCCACTAGGGCATTTTTGTCAATTCACACTTATAAAATTATTAAAGTAGTAAAATTAGGGACGGGTTGTCACAAGTCAGACTACAGTTTCAAATATTTCAGCACCATGTTTACCAATTTTATGCCCTTGAAATTGTTTGACGAGAGGAGCTAGAACTGTAAATTTGATTTCAACTCCTTTCATATTTGGTCATCTTTTTCTTTTTTTTTTTGAGAGAAATATTTTGTCATCTTAAAAGAGGTATTAGTTTCCCACCTTGAATCCCATAACTAGTGGGATTGATGTTATGATTTGATTAACTGAGCTAATTATTTAATTTAGGTCTTAATTAATTCAACATGTTTTTCAGAAATTTAGCTCTTAATTAAAACAAAGCCAAATTCACCTTAATTTTTGGCGCCATTTTATTTTAATTTTGTTTGATTTTCCCCCTCTTTTTCCCAAACAAGTTTAATTCATCGGTGTGAAATACAAGTAAAGTCGAACCAGATGAATCTTCAACAATTCAACCTTTACGTTTACGTGTATGCGCCACATTGCCAAGAAAATTTAAATTACAAAAAAATCGAAAGTAATTCCGTCCCTTATTATATTTTTTGGCTTTTTGTGTTCCCTCAGGTCAATTTGTGATGGAGAAAAATGACCGGACCGAACTATATCGATGATACAGACTCCGGGAGCCTCTTCGACACTATCAAGGTGCAGCAAGGCAGAGAGCCGGTTGATGTGAACTTTTGTTCGAACACAATATATAAATGGGACTTTAGATCATGACCTTTTGCATCATCGGATTGAAGATGTTTCTAGACAAAAAGGAACTGCAGGATATGGAGATTGATCTTAAAGCTCAAATCATTGCAAGATCCGAGATAATGGAATTACAACATAATCTTGATGCTCAAATAAATGCTTCCAAGCCTCAGGTTTTGATTGATAATTGGATATGTACTTTATAGTGTGTATGATGACAAAGTTTGTTCAGGTTGCCAGTAGATTAGGGAGCTGGCGGATTTAGAACTACGCCGAAGTGCCAGAAGATAACATCTTTCTTCACTGTGGTAAAAGCTTATTTACATTTTTTTCAACTATTATTTTCCTCCTCTGTTTATTTTCTTTGTTTAATTTTCAATTTTCACGGTGAAAACTCGTGTAGAAATTAAAAAATATTTCTTAGAAAAAAGGAAGAAAAAAAAGGTGTGAGAGGGAGAGAGCGGAGGAATTCCTTGCCCCATTTTGGAGGTCAGAAATAAAAAGAAGGAATTCAACATGTAATCCTTGACATGTCCAGTAAGTACAACCAGTTTGGATTTCATACATTCGTTACATGTAATCCTTTTCAGGTACTATACCCAAGTATTTGGATAATTTGACTACGATGGTCAACAATTCTGATGCAGGCTCTTTTCATGGCTGTGACCAAGCCACATTGACATTAAAAGCATTGATCTTTCATCAAATAATTTACAACGTGAAATCTCTGAAGAAATAAGCAGTCTCATTCTATTGGGCACCTTGAATTTGTCCATGAATCAGTAAGGTCAGGAAACTTGCGTTGGCTTGGAACTCTTGATCTCTCACACAACCACCTCTTGGGACAGATTCCTCAAAACTTTTCATCTTTAACATCTTTGTCCCACTTGAACTTGTCTTACAATAACTTGCTAGGAATAATTCATTCGGAAAACCAACTTCAAACGCTTAATGATTCTTCCATTCATATAATCAATCCATCACTATGTAGTGTTCCTCTCTTA